GGCGGAGCCTGAACTCCTTCATTATTTCAAAGATTTCCTGGAGGTCGTCGGCGTGGGAGGTGGCCTGCCTGCTCATGACGATCATGTCGTCGACGTACGCCTCCATCGTCCGGCCAAGGACCGCTCTGAAGATCTTGGCCACCATCCTAGTATAGGTGGCGCCGGAGTTTTTGAGTCCGAAGGCCATGACGAGGTAGCAAAAGATTCCCTCTGGTGTCATGAATGCCGTCTTCTCAGCGTCATCCTCATGCATGGAGATTTGGTGGTACCCTCTGAAAGCGTCGAGGAACGACATCAACTCGCACCCCGCCGTCTCGTCCACCAGCTGATCAATGTTGGGGAGAGGGAACGGGTCCATGGGGCATGCCTTGTTCAGGTCAGTGTAGTCAACACACATTCTGAACGTCGGCGGTTTCTGTGCGAGGACGACGTTGGCCAACCATGTCGGGTACTTCACCTCTTTGATGTGTTTGATTGAGAGGAGCATGGCGACCTCCCCTTTGACGAAGTCCCGTCTGTCGGCGGACAAGTAGCGCCGCTTCTGTTTGACAGGCGCGGAGGCCGGATCGACGGTCAGCCGGTGAGTGATCACCTGGCGGCTGATGCCTGGCATATCGTCCGGCCCCCACGCGAAGACAACGGCGTATGACCGTAGGACGAGGAGGATGGCGTCTCGTTGGTCCTGGGGGAGCTGCTTTCCGATTCTGAGAACCCGCTCCGGTCGGGAGGTATCCAGAGGGATTTCCTCGACCTCCTCGGCCGGCTCAGCATGTGGCCGTTCCTCATCCATGGCGACGGCGGCCGTGATGGTGTCTATCCTCTGGCCCTCCCTCTCGGCCGGCCTCGTCAGTTTGAGGTAGCATGCCCTGGCTATCCTCTGGTTTCCTCTGGCGTATCCGATGTCGTCGTTGGTGGGGAACTTCAGGCACAAGTGCTTCATGGAGATGATGGCCTCCAAGTCCTCCAGCGCTGGCCGCCCCAAGATCAGGTTGTGGGCGCACTGGAGGTTGACCACCATGAACTCCATGTTAATTCTGGCGTGGTGGGGGCCGTCACCGACTTCCACGGGGAGGACTATCGTGCCCTCGGCGTCAATAGAGTCCCCGTTGAAGCCGGATAACGGGGTCTTGATCGGCTTCAGCAGAGCTCTGTCCAGCTTCAGCTGCTTGAAGGTGTCCAGGTACATCACGTTGACGGAGCTCCCCGTATCGATGTAAGTACGGTGGATGATGGAGTCACCGATCTCACATCGGATGACGAGGGCGTCCCTGTGTGATTCCGTACCCGGAGGCAGATCCTTGTCGGTGAAGGTGATCGCCTCCGTTCGCTGCCTCTTCGGCTGGGGGGACGTGGGACACCTCCCCAATGTAAAGGGATTGGGCCCATTTCTTTCTCTGAGTGGCGGAGTCCCCCCCGGTGTTCCCACCTACGATGAGGTGGATGTGATTTTTCTTCGGCGGGGGCTCTTCGAAGTCCTCGTCGTCGCTGAGCCTACCAATCTCCCGCTTCTTCGCAGAGGGTTCGCCCCCATGTTTGCCGGTGTTTACCCAAGTGTTCTTGCGTGGGCCACCTTTGACAAACTGAGAGAGTTCCCCCTGCGAATAAGGCGCTCGATGGCCTTCTTCAGTGTGATGCAATCGTCGGTGTTGTGCGGCGAGTTCTTGTGGAACCGGCAGTATGTGCCGCCCTGCTGGATGGCAAGGATCTCCTCGGCCGGCCGAGGAGCCTGCTCGATGAGGCCGTGCTTTTCGGCATAATCGAGGATGGTGCCGACCGGGTGGGTGAGGGTTACCCCCGGCCGTTCCAACCTCGGCCGCCAGTGGCGATCCTTCTTACTCTGTCCACCAGAGCCGTGACGGCCCTGGGCACCCTGGCCGGCCGGGGACGGACCCGGGGCCGGCGAAGGAATTGTCTTCTTGGGGGGATGGCCCCCTTCTCTCTTGTGATTGTGGAGCTCTTCGGCGTCGGCATACAAGCCTCCGCGCTGGAGCGCCTTGGCGTACGACCTCGGGGGGTCGGTGATGAGGCTTCTGGCGTACGGGGAGCTGCGGAGGGCTCCCTGATACAAGGCGAGGAGGGTGCGCTCATCGGCCCCCTAGACCTCCTCGGTTTCCCTCGTCCACCGATCAATGAAGGACCGGAGGGACTCCTCGTGCTGCTGCTTGACGGAGAGGAGGTGGGTGAAATACTTCTTTGCGCGCTTCCTCCCGGCAAAGTGAGTGAGGAAGCGCTGGGCGAGGTCCTGCCATGAGTCGATGCTCCCTTCGGGGAGCGCGTTGAACCACTCGTACGCTGGCCCCTCGAGAGTAGAGAGGAACCAACGGCAGAGGTATTCGTCGGACGCGTTCACCATCAGCATGTTGTTCTGGTAACCGCTGAAGTGTTCCTGGGGTCTGATCGGCCATCGTAGGACTTGATGGCGTTTCCCCTGTACTTCTCCGGGATGGGGGCCGAGAGGACCCTGTTGGTGAAAGGGGTCCTGGTCCTGACCTGGATGATGGGGTCACCTCGCCCCTCGGCCAGCTCCCTCTCCAGGGCGCTAACCTTGTTCATGAGCGCGTTGAGGCCGGGGTCGTTGGAGGCGCCGGCCGTAGGGATGTTGGTCGACTGCTTGGCCTCCATCTGAGCCAGCCTCCTTTCCAGCTGGGCGATGACCTCATCACGGGGGTCCCTGGCGGCCGCAGCGGCGCCCGGCTGGTTCCTCACGCGCTCGTTGTGAGCCGCGTTGATCTGGTGACGCACGTCATCCTCGTGCAACTTTCCCTTTCCCTTGTCCGGGCGGGGCTGGTCCGCTGTCCGGGACACAGACCCCAAGCTTTCCCTCGGCAAGCCAGGACGAGGATCACCAATCCGTCCCGCCATCCTCTCCGAAACCGGACGACGGCGCGTGTCACCTAGCCTATTGAAGGCAGAGGCTTTTCCACGCGCTGGGGTCTGCCCAGGCCGAAGAGGGGTAGCATGGTGGGAGTGGGACGACGCCGTGTCCTGGGGCACCACCCCTTCATCGTTGCCTATCTGGACGGCCAACGGTTGGGGCTGAGGAGGTTGAGTGACGTTCCCCCCGGTCCTTGGCAAGAGTGTGATGAGGACGGTGGGGTTCTGAGCTAGGCTGGCGATGATGACCGACAGCGCGGCCTGGACCTGCGGATCCACGAACGGAGAGGTCGCGGCCATAGGCTGGGCCGGGGCGTGGTCCGTCTTCTCAGCTCGTTTCTTGTCCAAGCCGAGGCGGGCGTCGGGGACCCCGCCGTTGAGTTGGTTGCGGAGGTCCGTCGTGAGGTTGAAGGCCTCCTGGAAGAGGTCCCCTCCGCCGACCTGGTCGGCCGTGGCGTCCTCATCGTGCTCCCTGGGCTCTTGGTCCTCAGGGATGGCTTTGCTGGCGAGGTTGCGGTTTGACTTAGTTCTCCCCATGATCAGTGGTTAGCTGCGCTTGGTAGCGACGAAGGGTGCTAACTTGATTGTTCTAGCTCTCAACGAGAGCACCAAATGATAGAGTATATCTAGAGAGAAGTGAGAGCTAGAGAGAGAAGTGCAATAATATGCTTCAATAGAATGATTTTGTAACCCCTATAACTACTCCCAAGGGGAGTATTTATAGAGAAAATACGGGCTGGGCTCCCAAACATTGGGCTTGGGAGGCCCATTTACAACTGGACCGCTACTGGGCCGAATACAAAGCCACTAATGGGCTGTACAAATGAATAAGTATAAAATCCGGTTCTGTGAGGTCTTCGTGGCCGACGAGGGCGTGGCCGACGAGGGCACGGCCGACGAGGGCGCGGCCGACGAGGGCACCCGGGTTCCTTGGGCTCAGGGCCATAATCTGAGTTGGCCCCTTTTCGGCCGACGGGGGCGTCTTGGCCGACGAGGGCGCCACTCTGTGTCTTGTGCTTTCTGTTCTTCCGAGTATGTGGGTCCAGGGGCTCAGACCCATATACTCCATCAGAAATAATATATTACTAAATAATTATTATTATTATTATATCACATGCATAATACGGCGGCCTCAAAATAATTGACGAGAAAGCTAGAATTTTGGTGGGAAGCGCTAAATGCACCAGATATGCAAGATTTTATGGTTGGGGGCTGGCTACTCACGGTTCGCCACATTACCACCACCACCTATCACATTGTAGTATAAATAGAAGTATCTATTTCATTGTTAGGGTTGACAACTTATATTCAATAGATTTAGCTCTTCTCTCTACTTCGTTTGTATAATCTCAGCATAGAATAGAGGCTCGACGCTCGGCTTGGTAGAATGTAGTGTAATGGTTCTAACTTCTAAGTCTCGAATAGAACTTGGCCCACTTGCTTCTCTACTTTTTCTAGTACTTGTGCGCAAAATAGCTAATCCATCAAAATACATCCAACCCACAAAATTCCTGTGAAAGTCCAAGGGAAGGAAGGTGTTGGGCCCTTGAACGAGAGGAACAAATTAGAAAGTTTGGATAGGGTATTTTTCGGAGCGTGAAGTTAAATTGTCTTCTTTGTATAGAATCTATTTAACAATTTTCTCTTGTAAAAAATCATATAAATTCATGAACAATATACCAAAGAATATGTATATACCTATAAATCTTAATTAGTTGAAGAGGAACTCATATTTGTTCTAACTTTATAATTTCTATATTTATTTGTTAAAAAAAAGATAGAAAAATATCAGAAAATAATCGTAACACCTATAATTTTTTAGTTTAGAATTTGATCACATATTTTGTAAAATATGAGATATGCAATTTATTACACTAAATTGAATTTCAAAATTCAATTCGGTTAAAAAAATCCATAATGACCTCAGGCTCTATTCCTCCACCTTAAACAAAGTACAACCATTCTTGATGTACACACTCTTGTACACACCTTGTACACACCATGTTTGTGAAGCTTTTTTTTTGTCTGTGAATCTGGTTCACAGACAATATTTTGTTTGTGCAAAACATTGTCTGTGAATCGATGTTCACAGACAAAAAAAAAACTTTCACAGACATAGGTGTGTACAAAAGTGTGTACAAACATCATTTTTCAACAAAGTATGTTGTAATCACTCACAAATTTAACGTACAAAAGTGGTAGGAATGTAAGCAGCAATAGCATAATGCTCCCGTAATTTGTTTTAGTAAAAATAAATAAATTAAGATTTAAGAATTCTGACTGAAAAGAATTGAAATTTTGTAAATACAATGTTATTGATGTCGACGGGACCGTCCTTTACGGGCTTCCGCAACAGTGGGCTCATGGGAGTCACATATTTGGGCCTTAAACTTGCACCCGAACCTCTTCCTCCACCCTCCGCCCTGCTCGCCGCCGCCATCGCCGCCGCGCCCAACCGCTTTATTAAACGCTCTTTTCATTGTGGAGCACTCGCGCTCCAGCTCCTGCACACGCGTCCTCATGCTATCCATGTCCAGTCGCAACACCTCATTTTCCCTCACAGCTGCTCTCCACGTGCAGCTCGCTCCCTGCGCCGGCGACTCTGCCGCCTCCTCGTCATCTTCCCCTTCCCCGCCGATTTCCAGCTGAGGCAATTGCGCGGCTAGCAGAGTTCCGGCAATGGCGTGCCGGAGTTGACGTTGCTCGAAAAACAGTACCTGAACAATTGCTCTTAGCGGGAGGCGGTCGTTCTGAGCCGCATGAGTGCACGCCTCTAATGTCAGCTTCTGGTAATCCATTACTCCGCAGATTCTCTCTCTCTCCGCCTCCGATATCCATGGATGCGCCTGCATGAAGGATTTTTGCTCAAATTTATGAAATCATAAACCTAATTTGCTTCAGAAACCTAACTAGCGCGCGCTTAATACAATTACAATGCAATTACCTTTAGATAGACATCAACTGCTCTGTAAAGGCCGTCTTCCAAGAGTCTAGCTTGGTCAGGAAGAGAAACGGCTAATTTGCAGAATTTCTCCGGCTTCAGATTAGAGTCAACCGATATCTCAGATAAGTAACCGTCTATCAATTTCCCTACCAGCATTACGGAAGTAGATCTCGAACTGTTGGTATCTTCATCGCCTTCAACACCTCCATTTGCTGATTGATCTTCCAAACCACTTAAGAAATGACCTAAAATTCTCTCGACGCAGTCCACATCATACAGAGTTTCGTTTTGATGTGAAAAGCTTGGAAGGAGAAGATCATCAAGCGTAGCTTGCTCCAGTTGCGATCCGATTTTCCTCTCCAGTCCTGATCGGCAATTCTCTGATGCTTCCAGAATGTTCGCGGCGCGCAGTAATCCGAATAGCACTCGGGTTGTTGAGGAGGCTCTTGAGCTTTTATCTGCTGGGAGATTCGCTACAATAGTCTCGAGAATCTCTCTCTGCTCGTTCTCATCAGGTATGGATGATGAAGATGGTTTCCGATTAGATCGTGAAAGTCCAGGAATATATCTCTGTGCATAGCATATCAAACAGTTTTCGATGACTTCCGGATTCAATCGTTGACCTTTCATGGCTAAAATCAAACGCTTGAACAAAGGCAATCTCAGATGGCCAAGCTCTTCATACCACGAGTCTTCTGTCTCCCTGTCTCTGGAAACGCCTTTCCCGTGAGTATTCGCTTCCACGCCGTTCCAGAAAGACCTGTTGACAATTCCTTTCCGGTTGGCAGCCCCGTCGCTCACCGGCCATCCAAACAACGACGAATCTGCGGACGAGGCATTTGCCGCAATAGCATCAATGCATCTCTGAACAATGCCGAGTGTCTCCGCCAACGGCAAGAGCTTCTCGCAGGAGCTTAGGATTTTGATCGAGTCCTTGATACTACTTTGGACGGTTTGGGCAAAAAATCTCTCCGTCTTTGAGATGAGATTTTCTTCGGCATATTCTTCGGTCATCGCCAAATATTCCCCAGCACACCGGAGAGAAGCCACGTTGGAAGCCGACAAGTCAATCTTGACTCCGTAACAGAACTTTGCAGCAGCCTCAAAAGTCTCCGACCCGCCCGGGAAATTAGGGAAGGAAATGTGACATTCCACTGTCTCCGCCGCCATCTCGTCTTCTTCTTCTTCTATCTCTCCATCACAATTACCATCCAGTCTATGTTCTGTCTCTTGCTCTGTAATTAAGTCATGAAGCTTTTGACTTTTCGACATCAACGGAAACTGAACAGAGAAATTGAATATACAGAGAGGAATTAATGACAGAGGAGAGGTTGTTAGTTACGGGAAGATGAAATTCAATGAAGCACACAAACCTTGTGAAGATGGAAGGTCATGTCATCCGCCTGAATTGTCACATCGCTTGGTAACCCTGTAGTGCAAAACCTGAAAGGAAAACTGAATGAACAAAAAGGCTAATCTGTAAAACTTTCAACAGAGGAAAAGTTGCACTTTCGCTCACCATGCTTGAGGGCCGTTGGAAGTTAGATTTTCAGAGACCATTCTTCAGGATATGGAGCAGATTCAAGAAAGGTTCAGTGGGAAAGGAAAAAGTATGGCAGATTCATGGAGTTTTGGCCTGGTTGGGCAGTACCGTCCAGATAAAAGGTTGGGAGGGGAAACGCGCACAAAAAGGAAGGTCAATGATGAAATGGGATGGCTTTCTTTATCCGGTATTTCATTCTTTTCATCCTGCTTTTAATGGATGGATTAGGCCATAATCTTCTCTCTTGTGGGGGGAGTTTCAAGAGGAGGAGTGAGAAAGAGTGGGGGATTCAAAAGGGTAACATCATTTTCCGAGTTTTGTTTGTGATGTGTCGGTTACATATGTTTTTATTTAAAAATCACACTTTTTATTGTTTGTCCCGAAATTATTTTTCCCTTTTTGTAAGAACAATAAACTATTTATCTTCAGGAAAGGTTTTGGTAATTGAGAAATTTTTAATCATAATGTTAATGTATGGAAGTTCTACTTAATTGGAATAAAGGGCCTACGTGAGAGTTATGGGTCAATGATATATATTTCCTCCAATTCAAAATTAATTGTAGTCTGTTTATTTAGAATATCAATTTTTTATCATATTCTAATTTGGATTGCTTCTTATACAGCTTTCAATGCAATTCCTAATTATAAAGAATTTTAATTAGTTTGAGGAATTGTACGTTGTAAATGGCAAATAAATTTGGAGCCGAGGATGTATACGAGGATTGAGGAGATTAATTAATAGCCAATTTCGACGAAAATGCCTTGGAAGATCGTAAGTCCGTAGTATAATTTTACGTATTATGTATATCATTCCCCATGCATTGCTTACATAGTTACATACTTGGTATATGCTACATGATGGTTCATCCGTATGATCCCATCATGATTCCACCAGCAACCCCCGACAGACGCTATTGTGAGTTGCGATTGTTTCAAATGAAAGGTAAATTTAATTATTTCGTGCCCTTTGTTAAAGGTTATTTGACTTTTTTAATAAAGGAAAAAGTGTGGTTGACATTTTTGCAAAGAAATAATGTTCCGTAAATTTCACTTTATAAAAATGTGTACTCCGTATATTACAGTGCAACTGCACACCCTGATTTTAGTCCATTTTGTATATGCTTCAATTGTGATTTGAATAGTTGAAGCAAAAGAGACGATCACATGAACATATCGGTTTTTATCCAATGAATGCTTGAAATGCATGAAAATAGTAAAACAAACTACTCCCTCCATCCCGGTCATTTCTTTCGGTTTTGACCGGTATCGCAAATTTAGGTAGTGAGAATAAAGTGAAAAATGTATGGTTGTAGTTGTGTAAGAAAAAGGTGAATGAATGTGAACCACATATTTTTTCCAAAAGTGGAAGTTGGAAGAATTAATTGGGACGGTCCAAAAAAGAAAATTGGAAGAAATGACCGGGGCAGAGGGAGTATTTGTTTAGTGTGTCCTTAGTATCCTACACCGCTACACAAGATAGCCTTCATCATTTTTATTGATCTGGTCAAAGTGAAGTGGAACCTATTGCAACTAATCATGCTTTAATTGATTACTCCGTAGTTAATAAATCACACGGTGGAAAGAGCAGCATGTGGTGGGATGAATATATCACCACTACTAGCTACATGTTGTCTTTTGTGTTAGTTTTTTATAGCTCCAATTGTCTTTTATGTTAGTTCGTTGAATGAAAAAAAAAAGAATGACAGCCCATCCCTGCAGGCCTCCCAACCCCGACAAGACAGTACGTTGGGAGGATGTAATTGGACTATAATCCCAATCTGACAGATAGAAAGTGGGACTCTGTCCCCGTTACTTGCAGAGGTCCTATGCATTTTTAGCATAGTAACCTCTCATCGCAGTTGCCAGGATTCGAATCCGGGACCTAACCCTTGTGGCACTCCCTTGCTACCAGTTGAGTTATGCCACGACGTTAGTTGAATGAATACTCACAAGTCACAGTTTTGATGTTTGTTTGGACTAGTTTAGAGAGGAAGTGGATAACGAGTCGCAGTGGTGAACACGTCATTGTGATGATCTGATAATTAGTTTTGTCTACTTCATACTTTCTCAATCATGTGATCTCATATTTCTCATCTATGAGGTGGGTTGGTGCAACTGGGCAGGTATGGTATATGTTCTCAATAAATAACTTTACCATAACTGCAAGCTATAGAAGAATCAATGACAACTAGTCCCTTTGCTGACCCCTGTTGGCAGTTTATTACCTTGAATTATGAATCATTCTTTATTAAATACGTAACTTTTTATCTTTCTATACTAACCAAGTTAAGTAAACTAAGGTTAGATTACTCTTCTGACCGATTTGGTTGAAGGTATTGTATAAGATTGTTTTAGATATTTTCATATATATTTTTCTTTATTTTTCGATGTGATTTTGACTATGGGTAATCTAGAAACTGTCTTTATGTGCTTTAGTACATGGGTAAGAATACGTACATCCGACTTCCCTTCTCTCACAGTAGGTGTGAACCTTTGAAGCACTGTGGTAATGATGACAATGACGACGACAAATTGAATATAATATTTCCACAATTTAGTCATTTCAACCAAGATTATATGAATTTCAACAGATTTAGACAAGTTGACTGTTGTTAAAAGTAAGTTGTTTAAAAGTGTATCCGAACTTTATAGCAGTTGCATAATGCTTTGTTTGTTGTCTAATATTCCCTCCGTCGTTAAATAAAAGTCCTTTCTTTTTCATGTCATCCATAAATAAAATTCTCTTTTCCTTTTTTAGTAAACAGAACAATGCAAAACACTGATAAACACCGTCAAACAATTCTACTTTATTAAAATGTGTGTAAAATGAATAGACCGTGACGGAGGGAGTGACATCATTGTTTCCTAATCAAAACGAATGTCACGTGTTCAAATCTCATCTTTGTCAACAGTACTCTACAAAAATAAAGTAGGTTAAGAGTAGCTAGCTGAATATAAATAATATATCGATGTAATTCACATTTTATTATGAATAGATAGAGAGTATTTAGAGATGGGGGACAGAAAATGGGAGGCTTGTCCTGGACCCGTGTGCACCCCCTAGGCATAAATGTCGTGCAGTTATGTTTCACAATATATTTACACCAATTTGGTGCATTTTCCTTGTCCTTGTTTGATCAGTACAGTACATACTATTAATTGTTTTTTCTTCTTTTTATCGATAAAAAAAAAAATAGTGATACTAACGGCCATAGAATCGAAGTCAGGTCTGAAACCAAAACACTGTGGGAATCCATATGGGCCGTAATCTGATGCGCGCGGCCCACACGTAGTAATTACTCCGAAGCAAATCCGCCACTTAATGCTGTCCTGTTGGGTTGATCTCCAGCATTAACTCTGCACTCCTTCTTTTTCAAAATTCAAATCATTTTTGGGGCAATGTTTTCTCCATATGTGATCATTTTCTCAGGAAATCCAGCACTGCTTATTCAGTTCATTAGCCAACCACCTACCTTTGTAGAAAAGTAGAAGAAAACTATAATTGTTCTTATGAGTTATGATACATATACAAAACTAGACTAACGCAAAGGGATGACCAGCATAGTAATCAGCGGCGCACGTCCCCAATAATGCTAGGGGTACACAAGTTCTACACAACTTGTACACAAAATGCCGGTCACAGATAATTGGTACGGAATTGCATGTGGGCACCGACAAGATTTGTCCGTGTACACATACAACTTTTGTCTGTGACTACAAGCATTTACTTTTTCGTAAAAAGCAGATTGATAGTCGCCTGACACTGACACCAGCTTGCAAATCAATCGATATATGTGTAGTGCATGTGTGCACAGACAATATTTTCATGTAACACAGACAATTATTTGTCTGTGTGCATAGACAATATTTACCACAACGATAATAGTTGTGCGTCTCACATACAATAGTTGTATGTTTGATCAACTTTAATTGTCGGTGTGATCAGTTTCAATTGTCTGGGTGAACAAAAAATTTAATTGTCTATATATATCCAAATGAATGATGTAGTTGTATGTGTGATAAATTTACATGTAATTAGAAAAAATAAAAAATAATAATAATAGATGAAATAAGGGATGAGGAAGATGAAGAAGAAGATGATCTCTTTTTTTTTTTTTTGAGATATTCGAATTTTGGGTAATAAAGAGGAAAGAGAGAAGGGAGAAGGAGGAAGAGAGAATAGAGAGATAAGGGAAAGAGGGAAATGGGAATTTTTTGGGGCCTTTTATATGTTTGTGTACACCATGTATACGCTAAGCATTTTTCTTTGATTATTTCATCATTGAGGAAAGAACTTCCCACTTTAACTTAGACATATTTTAGTGAAAGTTAAAGTTTGTAGTTGATTTTCCAGTAGTTAATTTTCCAATGATAAATTATTACTGCAACTCATGTAAAAAGTAATGGTAGTTTTGATAATTTATATTGAAAAATTATTTTTATGGAAATGTGAAGCTTATTATGGGACGTCCAAGTAAGGAAGGTGAGAAGTTATTTTGGGATGGAGGCATGGAGCTAATATAATTGAGGTGTTCAAGATCTAGTCATATCAATAGAAGATAACTCCAACTCATTATTATTATTATTATCATCATCATCATCATCATCATCATCATCATCATTATAATAGTATTATACTACGTATGGAGAAATGATCTCGTTAGGTGCATCAGACCAGATGTATTGTACGTTCAAGTCTGTCTAAGGGGCTTTCGCGTCGAATATTTTGATGAAATTTTGTGAGACTTCATGAATTGCAGATTATGTCAACAAATTTTCAACTTCAAATTCATTCGGAAAGTCATTTCAAAAAATATTGAAAATTATGAAGTGTCGTCGCAACTTTTTCAATCATTTATTTAACTGACTTCCCGGGCATAATCTCAACTTTATAAAGAACATTCTCACAAAATTTCATCAAAAGCATTGACCTAAATGCTTCTCAAACAGGGTTGGAGTCTCCAAATCATTTCTCACTATATTATAATGCCCACTATCAAGACAATTGGGGTCTCCAAATTGGTGAGCCCCGTTACATATGACCGGTTGAACTCAACAAAAAACAGTTTGGGTTCTAGTGCTCCTAACTAAAAGAGAAACCATCCCACACACCAAAGAAAGCACAAGAACAAAACTCAGCTCACATGCACTGCGAATGAAAAAACATGAACAGTTCAAAAGATCTGCTCCCTCCGTTCCAAA